ACTGAGGGTGCACTGGGAAGGAACCAGGGTTGCCCAAGGACCTGAATGCTGCCTACCTCTCCCCTCACTGAGGTCTATGGAGCTCCCTCACAGGGAAGCTTCAGAGCTGTGTGTACGTAGCAGCTGGACACACCAAGCAAAGAACCAACTCCCTGCGGATGCTTCCGAGGTGAATTTAGGCTCTTCTGCTGGAAAGGCATCAAACAGCATCTGCCCAATAACCTGGGCACAACTGCGTATGATTGGCACCAGATGCCTATGTGGGATAGGGAAGGAGGGTTCTCTGCCCACCACTCTAGTTTTGTTGTTGTATCTGCCAAGTGGAGGATTTCAGGGAAAGCTCTTTCCCCGGCAGGGAGCAGCAATGTGCGAAAACAAACAGAAACTCCCCTGAGAAGAGGAGGCATCAGGGTATTCACTAGAGCCTGCACTATTTGCAGGCCAATCCAACGCAAAAAAAACCCCAGCTTATCCCACTTAAAGGGAACAGGAAAGCTGCAAGAAGCCCCAGGACTTTTCCAATCTGCAAATCACCCCACAGTGTGAGTGGACCCTTACTGGAGCCCTCGTAAGGCGTGCTTGCCCCTGTCAGCCCTTTCCCTGGCTCGGTGCCCAGTGTCTCTCAGAGAGCAGCACATGCATCCCCCATACAGCCTGCGTAACCTGAAGTTCAGAGAGTGTGTCTGGACAGTAACCAAGGACCACCCAAAGGCTCGAATGCTGCAGGACATGCAGGGTCTTTAGGGCCCCCTGATGTGTTTTTCTCGCAGTATTTAATGGCCCTTGTTGCAGGATCCTGCCTTCCAGCTCCAAAGCGCAGCAGTTTGGTGCAGCAATCACAAAGTACGTGTCTGGGCGTAGCAATGCCCTGATCTCTCCCGTCTGGTCTCAAGCTTTCCCCATTTTAAAAGACTGATGCTTTGCTCCCTGATATGAAGTGTTTGGGGGCAGAATTAGGATTGTTGCTTCACCCTGCATCGGCTGGGGATTAGATAACAATGTGCTGACTTCATAAAAGTAGTGAAGGAGGTTAAAATGTAACTAATGATCATCGAGTGATAATCATTTCCCACCAGCAATAATTAACCATTTGGAATTCAGATGTTTCCAGGCACATGTCCAAGTCTTTCAAATTAAGGAGGCTGGCCAAATGGCAGCTCGTAGAAACCTCCCTGTGAGTGTTCCTCGTGCATCAGTACCAAGCGGCTCCTGCCTGGGCACACACCACTCTGGCTCCAGCTGGACACCCCGTTCTCTGCGTTCCATCCAGCTCTGATGACCGACGTGCCTCCAAGTACATAATAAATGCTGCCCTCTGAGATGGCCGCACGTCCCATTCCAGAAAACATGGAGCTGGACAGAAATGTACGGATGCAGTCTGGCCTACTGAGAGCAGGCCGCTCTGGGTACGGTTAGCTAAACCACGCATGAGGCACGACACGCGGGCTGAATCAGCAGACAGATTTACAGATCTGTTCCTAATGTCTATTAGAAATAGACATAAAGGCAGGCAGACTGCAGAATTACGGTACAGCTTGGAGCAAGTGCCCTTTGCTGCCCGCAACAGGTTCATGAAGAGACTTAGATCAGAAGGGGAAGGGACTGAGAGGTCTTGGTGCACCACTAACCCTCTGCCACAAACTGCATTGTTTGTCCGCTGCAGTGGAGTGAATTCACTTTGTACACTTTTTCCAAATGAAAGTATTTTTATAAGCACTTAAGTAGTACAAAATAGTTGGCATTGGGTAATGCACTGAAATGGGTGGCAGCGGTCTGATGCCAAATGAACATACATGTGGCAGTCCCCCCTTCGTCTTCTTTGCTTTGCTGAATGTTACGGCTCAGCCAGGAGCAAACACCTGGTGATGGGTAACACATGGAAAGCTGCAGAGAGAGCTGCGATAGCTCTCAACGGGACAGCACAGCTACTGGGAGCATTCAATACCTGAGGTCTCCGAGTGCTGGATGGACCAATTTTGGCAAGGATTGCTCTGCGTGGCACTCTGTGTTGACTCGAGTGCATTGGGTACCCAAACATGCATATTTAAAGCCATCTTTGAATCTCCAAATAGAATGTCAGGTGGAGTTCGACAGGAAGAGGGCTGGAATAAGCGCTCACTGCAGCTGGAATCTCCCTTCCACCCATTCCTCTGCTCCCAGCAGTTCGTTCCTTCATGCTTGTTTTGTGCTGGTGTTGACACTTCCCTGCCCACACTCTGAGCTGATTCAACTTGATACGCCAGCAGAAAATCAATACGGAATAAAAAAGTGAAGTTAACAGGTTAACAAATTAAATTTTCGAGGCAAAGGGCCTTGTTGCAGGCGAGGCAGTGAGTGACAGGGTATGCAGATGCTGGTGAGGAGGAGTGGAAAGGGGGGGGAAATGGCCTTTCACCACCTTTTTTTGTGCAGTGAGGAATTACTTGGTCTCCGCTATATTGTCTCACTGAACTCAGCACTTTGCAACGTAGGTAGTCTGTGTTTAAGTGATTTTACAAGGTCTGATCGTTGGGTGGCAGCTCTGAGCCAATATTTTTGTCTGACAGGGCAGAACTTGGGGAAAAAATGGGTTCTTCTCTGCTTTAGCTAAACCATTCACCAAAATGGTTATTTAAGAACTGTTCCAGTCACCCATAAACAGTCAATGCACTTGAAAAATAGATAAACATGCTCTAGCAATTTGAAATAGAAGAGACAAATTACATCCAAGCTGCTGCATCACTCTCCTTATACCTTCTAGTATTCCGTGCAGAACTGTGTATTTCCCAGTTCAGGCTTACGCGTCCCTGCAGTTGAGGCACAGATCACTCTGCAGGATATCACCTTAATAAAGATTTCCTATTCTCCAGCCAATCTTTTTTTTTCTTTTCATTTAACCCTCTGACTTCTGCCTTGTGCTACCCTGAACGATTCCAACCTTTGGTATCTCCGCTGCAAATGATTTTGAATGGCTCATTGAAGAAGTGGTAGCAACTATAAGAATAGGAGCTCTTATCAGTCTCTTCGGCCTCCTGTTCAAATCAATCCTTTATGCTGTAAAGCTTGCACTGAAATGAAACAAATTCAGAGCTACATCTATCCTGAGGTAAGCCCAGTATTCCTAGAAGAACAGCGTACTGACGGCTGATCCTGCCTACAACGGGATAAAAGAGAATCCAGCACTGCTTGAAATGGCCAGAGATCACAACAAGGAGGGAGCAAGTGATTTGACTTCAGTGGGCTTCACTCTTGTGCCCTGGGGTTGAAATACAATTGTGCCTTAAGTCTGAAGGTATTTAAAACACTGCTATCCACCAAGAGGCAATGGTGTTCTGAGGGTTAGGAATTACCCATGGTGTTCCCCTTGACAGTGGTAGAGCAAAGGAGCCACAGAGCAAGAAAGCAAAAATAAAAAAAAAACCCAAACCAAATGGTCTTTTCCTCAGGGTTCTCTTTGGGTTTTGTTTGCCACAGACTCCTCTCCAAGGATCTGCAGTGTTGAGGGGGCAGCATGGGAATGCAGCCAGAACCAAGGCTTCATGGGCCACAGCTGCTGAGAGCAGTGACCCAGTATCGGAGCAGGGATCACCGCACTCGGAAACAGTAAAAGAGGTTTAAGAGCAACATCGCCTTACAGATGGACAATGGGCTCTCCCAGCTCTGGGCAAAACAAGGGAATGGGCTACATTGCCAAGAAGCTTTCGGGTTGTATTGTTGATTTTAGTAAACAGCCCTACCAGTGTTTATGCTGAGTTGCCATTTTATCCCCTTTAATAAAATTCCTTTTCTTTTCAACACTTGGATTCATCGCTCTTGAGCAGGAAAACTGATTATCCAAGCTCATTATGTGTCCAAGCAAAATAATTTTCTTCTCCTATAACCTGAGAGCCTTGAACTGAAATTGTTTGCCTATTTTTAGAAAGGAGCCCTAGCTAAATCTGGCTTCTTCCCCTGCCAATCACGCCTACCAGGGGAATGTGAGCCTATCTAATGGGAATTATGGCCTGTCCCTTTTACCAAATGCATTAATATAACTAAGGAAGGGGTAGGGTTGCTTGATATCTTTCACCATGTTGGACTAGAAGATGGAGAGGAGAGGCAGCATTTGTGGAAAGAAAATGGTATTATAATGGTGTCATTTTTCAAATTTTTGTCTTGGTTATCTGGGACCCCTACAACACCAGCAGGCTTTTCTGAATCTCAAAGCTGGCTACTTTTCTTTCCACGACAGCATTCTTTAGTGTTCTGAAGATCTGAGTCACCTCAGTATTCTGTGCATTGTCTTCCTTGCCACTGATGGGCCCCCCATCATGTGCAGGCTATCAAATCATTCTAATGGATTTCTAAAACTTATTTATTTGGTGTGGTGGGTTGACCCTGGCTGGACACCAGGTGCCCACCAAATCACTCGATTGCTCCCCCTCCTCAACTGGACAGGGGTAGAAAAATATGACATAAGGCTCATGGGTCGAGGTTAAGGACAGAGAGATCACTCAGCAATTACTGCCATGGGCAAAAAAGACTGAACCTGGGGAAATTAATTCAATTTATTGCCAATCAAATCAAAGTAGGATAATGAGACATAAACCCCAAATCTAAAATACCTTGTCCCCACCCTTTCTTTCTTCCCAGGCTCAATTTCACTCCCGATTTCTCTACATCCTCCCCCCCCCGAGCGGCACAGGGGGATGGGGAATGGGGGTTGTGGACAAGTCCTCACACGCCGCCCCCGCCGC